CAGCTCTCCGTCCCTCTCTGGGGTGATGATGCCCCGGACACCAGGGAGGGACCCCGGCACCGAGAGACAAGCACCCACACACTTACCGGGGGCCTCGCACAGGCTCACAGACACACACTGACACCCAGACCCTGGGGAGTCCTGAGCATGGGGGGATGGGGGTAGGGGTGGGGGTGGGGGTGAAAGGCAGGCCGCCCACGGAGATCCAGGGACTGACCCCACGACACAGAACCGAAGCGACCAGAACCCGTGAGCTTCGGGACCCGCGACCGAGGCGGCAGGCCGACGCGGCGCCGTCCGGGGCTCCTTCCCTTGACCCATTTGCGAGTGGGGGGAAGTGGAGAGGACTACGTATCCCAGCAGGCACCGCGGCGGACCCTTCCCCCCGGAGTGCAAGCCCCTCGCCGCCAGGGCTGCTGGGAGTTGTAGTCCCGGGACGGGGCCGGCCGGTCGAATGGTGTGTGTGCCCGCCTATGTCTGCGCTTTTGGAAGGATTGAGCCCCAAAGCTTCGTGGGTTCCCCCTTTGTGGGAACCCCGGCGTGTCTCTTCATCCCTTTTGGGGTCCCGGGGACTCAAGTCTAGTTGGATGCTGGGGCTTCCCCCCCTGTCTCCCCCAGCTCCGCCGCGGTCCCCCCACCCCGTGTCCGCCGCCCCCAGCCCCCCGGCCTGACCCTCGGCGGGCGGCCTGCCCCTTTAAGAGTGGCCCCGCTGACATCACGGCGGGTGGGGGGGGTCCGGGGGGGGGCTGGCCCGGCTCCCGGCTCCGCGGCGGCGGCTGCAGGACCCAGATCGCTCCGCGCCCGCCGGCTGCTCTGGGGGGACCCCGGCCCGGGACGCCCCCTCCCGCCCCGACCTCCAGGCTCCGCCCCGGGCCCGGCCAGAGCCCCAGCCCCCCGCAGGGGACCCCAAGGATCGCCCCGCTGCCTCTCTCTCCTCCCGGGGTCTCTCTCTCTGTCTCTCCGCCTGTCCCTCTGCCCGGCTCAAGGTGTCTGGTCCCACAGCATCCCTCAGCCCCAGGCCTCTGAGCGGGGCCCCGTCCCCTTTGGTCCCTGCGCGCCCCATCCCCCCCCCCCCCATCCTGCGCCCCGGCCTCCGAGCTGGGGAAGCGGGGGTCTGGGACCCGCTCTCCGCCCCTCCTGCGCGCGATCTCTCTCTCTCTCTCTCTTAGGCCATCAGCTCTGGGTCCCCTCCGTCCCCAGCCCTGCGAGGCTCAGGACCGCTCAGCCTCGGAGTCGGGGGGCGCCTAGGACCCCCCTTCTATCTCCCACTGCTCCGCGCGCTCCGGTCTCCATTCTCTCTCTCTCTCTCTCTCTCTCTCTCTCTCTCTCTCTCTCTCTCTCTCTCTCTCTCTCTCTCTCTCTTTCTCTCTCTCGGCCTCCCCCATCCCCAGGGCCCGGCGCCCCCCTTCCCTCCCGCCCCCCCGCCCCTCCCCTCCTCCCCGGCAGCCAATGAGCGGCCGCGGGCCGCAGCTCCCGGCGCCGTCCGCCGAGTGAGGCCGCGGCGGCGGCGGCGCGGGGGGCGGGGGGCGGGGGCCGGAGGGGCCGGGACGCCGGGCTCCGGGGCGGGGGCGGGGGGCGCGGGCGTCGGCGGCCCCGGGGGCGGCGGCGGCGGCCGGGGGGAGCCGCGGGGCCGGTCATGCGGCTGCGGGGCCCGCGGCCCGGAGCGTCCGCCCAGCCCTGAGCGAGGTGAGGAGCGGAGGGTCCGGGGGGCGGCGCGGGATGGGGCGGGGGCCCCCGGAGGCGGCTGGGGCTCCAAGGGGCCTGGGGGGCTCTGGGGGGCCGGCCTTGGGGCAGTCGGGACCGCCGGGCCCGGGAGGCGATGGGGGATGGAGGGGCATTGGGCCTAAGGGACCCGGAGGTCGGGGTCCGAGGGACCAGAGTGAGGCAACTCTCTGCTGTTCGCGTCCGATCGTGGGGAGCGCGGGGTCCCCTCGGGGTCCCCCCGGGCAGGGCGCGCAGCCCGGGTCCCGGAGGGGGGCGGGCGCGGGGAGAGGGAGGAGGGAGGGAGGACGGAGGGAGGGCCTGGTCGGCTGAGAGCGGGACGTGAGTCCCAGACAGGGTTCCCGGAAGGCGGGTACGTCCCCCCCGCCCCCCCCAATACCCGGTGAAAGGAGACGGATGTGGACTTGGCCTTGGAGGAGGGGACCCCCGGAGGAGGGGACCCCGGAGACCCGAATGCGCGCGTCCGGGAGCGGCTGGGGGAGCAGGAGCGGGAGGCGGCTCCGGGCCTGGGGGGGGGGGGCGGCGGGATGGGAGGAGGGTCCCCAAGGATGAGCTGGAGCTGGCGGAGAATGTGGAGTGAGGAGGAGCTGGAGGAACTGGAGCAACGGAGGGGGCTCCCCCAGGCGGGGCGCGAGCCGGGGGACCGCGAGCCGAGCCGGGTCCTGGCCGCAGCCGAGGTCCGTTACCTGCGCGCCGGCGGCCGGGGAGCCCGGGTTCGAGCGGAGCGGAGGGGAGCGGAGGGGAGCGGAGCTGGCGGTCAAGCCCGGAGCCATGGGACGGGGGAGGGGAGGAAAGCTGGTCTGAGCTCCGCCAGCCCGGATCCCCGGATCCCCGAGCCCTCCAGGAGGCGGGGTGGGGGTGGGATGGGGTGGGGGGTGGGGTCGGGGCAGCCAGCGGATGCTGAGATGGGGGTGGTGGTGATGGTGGAAGTTGTCTGCGACCCCGTCCTCGGGGTGCGGCAGTGTCAAGGCTCCCCGGCATTCCGATTTTAAAAAGCGGGTCTCCTCAATCTTGGTTGCGGGGCTGGGACGCGTGGGGAGGGCGGGGGGCTCTTAACATTCATCCTTCAACAGATGAGGGGACTCTGGGACTCAGAGACGCTGAGATTCTCTGGTTGAGATAGGATTGGGGGGGTCCTCAGGGTGAGTCCCCCAAATCTTGGGGTTGCCTAGTTTAGGGAAAAGTCCGTGATGGTGGTGGTGGTAAGGGGGCGGGGTCAGGGTGGTGAAGAAGGGTCAAGGAGCATGCAACTTGGAATGTTCAAGTTTGGGGGGGTCCAGCTATGAACTGGGGGTCTCTTGTTTTGAGGACCCAATGTTTTTGGGGACCAGAGTTCTAGGTTGGTGTGGAAGAGGGTCTGTAACGGGAAGTCCTTGCAAAGGAAGTGGAGACCAGAATCTCTGTGGAGAATTCTGGGGTCTCAGGATTCGGGGGGTGGGGGGGGCACGGGACGGGGGGGGGGTGCGAAGGGAAGAGTGGGGTCCTGGACTTCCCGTTGGGGTGTTGCATTCAGAGCACTGGTCCTTGGTGTGGAGGGTCACTTGTTGGGTTGGGGTGCTCTGGTTGGGGTGCTGAGTTGTGTGTGTGTGTGTGGTCCCTAGATCATGGTTTTGTCATCCTGGAATCTCCATCCAAGTTTGTGGGTCCCCGTGTTTTGAGGTCCAGCCGCCTGGGATGGAGTTCCAGGACCCCCAGTCCAGGGGCCTGCCTGGGTTTGGGACTTAGTGGGGGGGGCGGGAATTCAGGTTCTGGAATTCCAGATCCGGGCGCCCGATTGAGGTCAAGATGCAGGACCAGAGTGAGGAGGTCGTGGGCGAAGTTCTTGGTGTTAGAATTGGATCAAGAGACGAGTCCAAGAGTCTAAACTGAGGTGGAGGCCTCTACTCACGCTCATAGGCAGGCCTGAGGCCAGGCTGAGGGTCCTTTGTGTGTGTGTGTGTGTGTGTGTGTGTTTAATCAGCTGTTTTTTTTATTATTATTATTAATTATTTTTAAATATATGTGTATTATTATTATTTTTTTACAGAGAGGAAGGGAGAGGGACAGAGAGTTAGAAACATCGATGAGAGAGAATCATCGATCAGTTGCCTCCTGCACACCTCCTACCGGGGATGTGCCTGCAACCAAGGTACATGCCCTTGACCGGAATCGAACCTGGGACCCTTCAGTCCGAAGGCCGACGCTCTATCCACTGAGCCACACCGGTTTCGGCGAGGGTCCTTTGTTGATGACTCACTGGGGGGATTTCTGGTTTCCGTTCAGAGACAGGCCCCAACAGAAAGGGGTCGGCAGATGGCGTCCAGGTTGGGTGGCTTGAGTCAAGGTTTCTCTCCAGGTCGCCGTGCTCAGCACCCAGTGCCGACGTTTCAGCACTCAGGGTGCAGAGTCCCTGGCCCTGGCCCAGAGCTGAGGGCCCAGGCCCTTGCTGGAGAGTGGTGGTATTCACGGTGTGTGGCTTGCTTGCTCCGGGGCACGGAGTCCAGGCTGGGGGTGCATGCCTGGCCTCAGGGTGGACGTGACAGATCGATGGATCAATCACTGTCACAGCTTCTGAGTCACAGGCCCTGGCTCGGTCTGGTCTGATGTCTGTGGTTCAGGACTTGGGTGAGCGCGTGAGGGTCAGGCTGGAAGGCTTGGTTCTGGGGTTGGGAACCTAGAAACTGCATTTCTAGTTGGAGTCATGAGATATATATATAATATATTTTAAACATATGTTATTGATTTTTTTACAGAGAGGAAGAGAGAGGGATAGAGAATTAGAAACATCGATGAGAGAGAATCATCGATCAGCTGCCTCCTGCACACCCTCTCCTGGGGATGTGCCCACAACCAAGGTACATGCCCTTGACCGGAATCGAACCCGGGACCCTTCAGTCCCCAAGCCGACGCTCTATCCACTGAGCCAAACCGGTTTCGGCTGGAGTCATGATATTGTGCACCCACGCCCCTACATTTCCTAGGTTGGAAATCTTATCCTGGAGCTGGGGGGAGGGGCGTGTCTGGTGTGTGTGTGGGGGTCTCCGATCAGGATCCCGAGCCAGAGAACACGTGACCAGTGCCAGGTTCAGGACTAGGGGTGCAGGTCCACATTGGGTGTCACCGGTTCAAATCCAGGGAGGTCCAAGGGGAGAGGGTTGGGGGGTTATTGGTTGTGTCTGGCCAGGGTTCGCCAGCCCCGGTGGCTGCCTGGGGGTGAGGCGTCTGGGGGGGGGTCCCACCAGACCTTCTCCAGGATCTTCCCTCTCCCAGGCCCCGCAGGGCGCCCCCCGCCGCTGAGGATGAGTCACTGCAGCAGCCGCGCCCTGACCCTGCTGAGCAGCGTGTTCGGGGCCTGCGGCCTGCTGCTGGTGGGCATCGCGGTCAGCACCGACTACTGGCTCTACATGGAGGAGGGCACGGTGCTGCCGCAGAACCAGACCACCGAGGTCAAGATGGCCCTGCACGCCGGCCTCTGGCGCGTCTGCTTCTTCGCAGGTACCCCCCGCCCCTGCCCTGCCCTCTGCCCGCCTGTCCCTGCCTTGGCTGGGCAGCATCCCAGAGTTCTCTCTCTTTTTGTAAAAGAATATATATATATATCGCCGAGACCGGTTTGGCTCAATGGAAAGAGCGTCGGCTTGGGGACTGAAGGGACCCGGGTTCGATTCCGGTCAAGGGCATGTACCTTAGTTGCGGGCATATCCCCAGTGTGCAAGAGGCAGCTGATTGATGACTCTCTCTCATCGATGTTTCTAACTCTCTCTCTCACTTCCTCTCTGTACAAAATCAATAAAATATATTAAAAAATAAAAAAAAATATATATAATTTAAAAAATATATTTTATTGATTTTTACAGGGAGGAAGGGAGAAGGATAGAGAGCTAGAAACATCGATGAGAGAGAAACATCGACCAGCTGCCTCCTGCACACTCCCCACTGGGGATGTGCCTGCAACCAAGGTACATGCCCTTGACCGGAATCGAACCTGGGACCCTTCAGTCCGCAGGCCGATGCTCTATCCGCTGAGCCAAACCAGTGAGGGCTACTTTAATCTTTTAAAATTGATTTCAGAGAGGAAGGGAGAGGGGGAGAGAGATAGAAACATCAATGATGAGAGAGAATCATTGATTGGCTGCCTCCTGCACACACCCCCCTACTGGGGATGGAACCCACAACCTGGGCATGGGCCCTTGACCGGAATTGAACTCGAGACCCTTGAGTCCACATGCCGACACTCTATCCACTGAGCCAAACCAGCTAGGGCTAAAAAGTATATTTTTATTGGTGAGAGAGAGAGAGAGAGAGAGAGAGAGAGAGAGAGATAAATGAGAGAGAATCATTGATTAGCTGTCTCCTGCACACCCCCTACTGGGGATGGAGCCCACAACCCAGGCTTGTGCCCTGATTGGGAATCGAACCGTGACCTCCTGGTTCCTAGGTCGATGCTCAACCACTGAGCCACACCCGCTGGGCGAACCCACAGCTCCTTATCCTTAGTTCCATCTCTGGGTTCCAGAGATCCAGGCACCCATCCAGTTTCTGTCCTGGAGAATGGATTCCTCCCTGGACACCCAATTCCACGCCCTCCCTGTCATGCCTCCAGCAGCCCCAAGGCTCACACCATCACCTGGTCCCTAACTAACCTCCCTTAGCGGTGGCCATCCAGGTTCAGAACGTGTTCCCTGGACAGCTCCAGTGCTGAACGGACAGCATTAAAAAAAAGAAAAATCCACGCCTCCAAGGATGACAGAAACGCCACGCCCCCTGCCAGGGATCTAGCCACCTGATGCCTGATTCTCTCTAGGGATCCCGGAGTCAGGGGCCCACAGCCCCTCCTCACTTGGGACCTAGGGTTCCAGCCTTGCCTCTCTCCATGAGGCTGGGTTCTAGGGCCCCCCAAGAACAGGAACCCCCAGACTTCCTGCGCCTGCCTCTCCTTCCCTAACTAACCCTTGGGTTCCAGTGTTTCCCAAACTTCTGACACATGTGGACCCCCTTCTATCATTTCCGTAACGCTGAGTACCCCTCGTACTCATGAGAACGTAGAATTAGGCGCAGCTAAGCACGATGCAGTGCATATCCCCACCAAACTCCGCTGCAACGCGTACCCCCACCAAACTCTTCCCGTACCCCTGGGGGTCCGCGTACCACACTTTGGGAAACACTGGACTAAGCCATCCCCAGCCCAGGTCTCCCCACTGTGCTTCTCCCCACTGTGCGTGGCGCCCGACTGCCTTTCCAGAGGGCAGGAACCTCTCCTCCAGCCCTGCCTTCCTATCCTCTCCCCCTCCCCTCAGGTCGGGAGAAGGGTCGCTGCGTGGCCTCGGAATATTTCCTCGAACCCGAGATCAACTTGGTGACGGAAAACACGGAGAATATTCTGAGTGAGGGGGATGGATGGGGGGGCCTGGGGAACAAGGGGGGCTGGGTCACAGGGCAGTCCTGGGAGGTGGATAGAAGAAGAGTGGAGGCTGCAAAGCAGGCAGAGTGGCTGGGCAAGGAGGAGGGGCGGGGCCAGGGCGGGGCCTAGACAACGGGAGGGCGGGGCCAACGCAAAAGGGTGTGGTCAAACCAAAGGGGCGTGGCCTGGGTGAAGGCTGCCGGTCAGCAGTGGAATTAATCAGAAAGGGGAAGAGTCTGTGGAAAGGAGAGAAGCCACCCAAAGGGGGTACAGGGGATGGTCACCATCAAGGAGAGGAGGTCATGGGGAATTGGGGAGGTGTGCCCCCCAAATTGCCTCCCCCCTCACCCCCTCTCTTTCTCCTCCCCCAGAGACCGTGCGCACAGCCACCCCCTTCCCCATGGTCAGCCTCTTCCTCGTGTTCACCGCCTTCGTCATCAGCAACATCGGCCACATCCGCCCCCAGAGGACCATCCTGGCCTTCGTGTCTGGCATCTTCTTCATCCTATCGGGTGAGCCCAGAGGAAAGCACTTGCGGAGCTGGTGTGTGTGTGTGTGTCTTTTAGGTTCAGGTGGTGGCTCCCCCTCCCGCTAAGAAAGCCACTCCCTTGCTGAGTGGTCCTGGAGGAGGTGCCGAATCTCTCTGAGCCCCCACTTTTTCCCTGGGAGATGCAGAGAACAGTGCCCATGTCTTAGCAGGTGCTTCTGAGGTGCTCGCGGGTACCAGGCTCTGGGCTGAGACCCAGGACCCTGGGAGGTCAACGCTAGTGATGGGCCCATTTCACAGATGGGGAAACAAACACTCGGAGAGATGAGGCCATTTGCCCAGGGCCACACACAGCCAGGGAGAGGCGGAGCTGGGGCTCAAATTACCACGCATTTCGCCTCCACGAGCTGTGTTTTGGACTAATCCTGAGATTACAGGTCACGGATTAAGGGCTCTTTATTTCTCTGAAAAGTTTTCAAATGGAAAAGGCAAAAACTGTTGGCGCCGCCACTTAGGGTCAACCATTACCCTGTGATTGGACTTCATTGGTCTTGAATCTGTTCATCTGTCTCTGTTTCTATCCATCCGTCAACCTTTCTTCTCCTTCTCCTTCTCCTTCTCCTTCTCCTTCTCCTTCTCCTTCTCCTTCTCCTTCTCCTTCTCCTTCTCCTTCTCCTTCTCCTTCTCCTTCTCCTTCTCCTTCTCCTTCTCCTTCTCCTTCTCCTTCTCCTCCTTCTCCTCCTCCTCCTTCTCCTCCTCCTCCTTCTCCTCCTCCTCCTTCTCTTTCTCCTCCTCAACCACCTCCTCCTCCTCCTCCTCCTCCTCCTCCTCCTCCTCCTCCTCCTCCTCCTTCTCCTCCTCCTCCTTCTCCTCCTTTTCCTTCCCCTCCTCCTCATTCTCCTCCTCCTCTTCCTCCTCCTCCTCCTCTTTCTTCTTTTTCTTCTTCTTCTTCTTCTTCTTCTTCTTCTTCTTCTTCTTCTTCTTCTTCTTCTCCTCATCAATTTAAACATTATTGCTTTTAGAGAAGAGGTAGAGGAAGAAAGAGAGCAAGAGATGGATTTGTTGGGCCACTTATTTATGCATCCATTGATTGATTCTTGTATGTGCCCTGACCGGGCATCGAACTTTCAACCTTGGTGTATCTGGACTGTGCTCTGACCAACTGAGCTACCCAGCCAGGGCTTTATCTCACTTTTTAAATTTTTATTTATTTATTTATTTAATGCGTTTCAAAGCGAGTTGCAGCCTCCGTACACACTACCCTAAATCCCCCACTGTGCATCTCATTAGCTAGAATCCAATATGTGTCTCTAGCTCCCTCTCTTCCGCGCGGATGATCACACTCCCTTCTCGTGACATCTCTGCCCGGGAGTTATTATTAGCGCGCACTTACTGCCGAAACCGGTTTGGCTCAGTGGATGGAGCGTCGGCCTGCGGACTGCAGGGTCCCAGGTTCGATTCCGATCAAGGGGATGTATCTTGGTTGTGGGCACATCCCCAGTAGGAGGTGTGCAGGATGCAGCTGACCGATGTTTCTTTCTCGTCGATATTTCTAACTATCCCTCTCTCTTCCTCTCTGTAAAAAATTAATAATATATATATATATATATATTTTAAAATTGGGGGTACTGGGGCCCGGAATAGTGCAGAGAGTCGCCCAAGATTCCCAGCATGAGCTGTTGGCTGAGGCCTGGAGTCCGTGGAGGCCTGGAGGAGAGTCCTCCTGGTGTCCCCTCTTCCCAGCTGCAGCTGTTTGGCCTCCTCAGGCCAGGTCAGCCCAGGCCAACACAGCTCTATCATGTTTAACTCCAGCCATCTGGTCTACCCAACCCCACTCCATTCCAACTCAACTCTTCGGTCCAATTCAGATGGACTCAACGTAATTAAACTCCACTCAGGTCCTTTTAATCCAGTCGACATTTTACGAGCAAACTCTGTTGTTCGTCTCATTTCCATTCAGTCCCTGGGGGACTCCCATCTCCTCCCTTTATTTTTTTTACTTTTATTTATTTATTTATTTATTTAAATATATTTTGTTGATTTTGTACAGAGAGGAAGGGAGAGAGATAGAGAGTTAGAAACATCGATGAGAGAGTGTCATTGATCAGCTGCCTCTTGCACACCCCCTACTGGGGATGTGCCCGCAACTAAGGTACATGCCCTTGACCGGAATCGAACCCGGGACCCTTCAGTCCCCAAGCCGACGCTCTATCCATTGAGCCAAACTGGTCTCGGCCCATCTCCTCCCTTTAAAAAAAATATATTTTTTATTGATTTTAGAGAGGAAGGAAGAGGGGGAGAGAAAGAGAAACATCCATGATGAGAGAGAATCATTGATTGGCTCCATCCAACCATCCATCCTTTCACCTTTCCATCCATCCATCCATCCATCCATCCATCATCCATCCATCCATCCAACAAATATATGATTGATTTCAGAGAGGAAGGGAGATGGGGAGAGAGATAGAAACATTCATGATGAGAGAGAATCATTGATCGGCTGCCTTCTGCACGCCCCCCTCCTGGGGATTGAGCCCACAACCCAGGCATGTGCCCTTGGCTGGAATCAAACCTGGGACCCTTTGGTCCGCAGGCTGATGCTCTATTCATTAAACCAAACCAGCTAGGGCCGCTCCCCAATTTGAGGTGCCTCTGCGAGTGTCCCCTCCACGTCTCACGTGGTTCAGGGTTCAGGTTCAGGGTTCGGGCTCTGGAGGAGGCCGCACGCAAATGAAAGAGACTGGACAAGAAATAATTAATGTGGGAATCGGGGGCCAGGCGGGAGCCCAAGAGAGGACTACGCTCTGCTCTGGCCTTGCGATCTCTTTTATTCAGGTTTGGGATCCACCTCTATAGCCCTCAGGCAGGCAATTTCCAGTACCAGCTGCTTGATAGCCCGTCAGCAAGGACTTACATGAGACTAACAGGTTGCTTCAGCTCCCTTTGTCTCCACTAGACCAGTGGTGGACAAACTCATGAGTCCACAGAGCCTAATATCTGCGATTGACATGTCTTTGGAGAGCCACGTTTTTTAAACTTCAACTTCTTCTAACGCCACTTCTTCCACATAGACTCGCCCAGGCCAGGTGGTATTTTGTGGAAGAGCCACCCTCCAGCCGAAGCCGGTGTGGCTCAGTGGATAGAGCGTCGGCCTGCGGACTGAAGGGTCCCGGGTTCGATTCCGGTCAGGGGGCATGTACGTTGGTTGCGGGCACATCCTCGGTGGATGGTGTGCAAGAGGCAGCTGATCCATGTTTCTCTCTCATTGATGTTTCTAGCTCTCCCTTCCTCTCTGTAAAATATCAATAACATATATATTATAAAAAAGAAAAAGAGCCACCCTCCAGGGGCCAAAGAGCCGCATGTGGCTCGCGAGCCGCGGTTTGCCGACCTTGGCCCTAGACGGTGGGTGCATGGCTCTGACCCCTTGCCCGAGCCTCAAGGTCCACCAGCCTTCGGGCTCCTTGTCCACCTCTCTCTGCAGGGAAGGCAGTGGGCAGCTGCCAGCATGCCTCTGCATGTGAAGATGTTTTGCTGCTTTTTGGATATCCCCTCCCCCATACCCCCTTCCCGCCCCTCCCCCGGCTGCTTCTAAGCGCAACCTCCCTCGTGCCTCCCACTTTTTTCCCCGGGGGAAACCGGGGTGCGTGCAACCTCTGTGCAGACTTGAATCACAGCCTGTGGAGCCAGACACTGAGCTAAAATAAGACGCGTCGGCTGTCACCGTCCCGGAGTGTCGGAGGGGAAGGGCTCATCCTTTCATTTTCCAGATGGAAAAAATAAAAAATAAAAAAATCGTGGCCTAGAGAACGGGAGGAAGTGGGGCATGGAGGTGTCCTTGGTCCGCCCCCAAGGAAACCCCGTGGTGCGAGGCTCACAGGGCTGGAAATAGTGGAGGAGGCCTAGGGGCCGGGCTGGGGCTGGACTGGAGGGTTTTTCCCGGCACAAAAGGCCACGCTCACCCCAGAGGCAGCAGCCCCGGCCTGGCCAAGGTCAAGCTGAGGATCGATGAGGCTGTCCTGGCCGGGAGTCAGGCCTCTGATGTAACAGCAGTGTCACGGGGAGGGCATGGAGCTCCAGGGCCTGAACCCGTTTCTCCGGGTCCTTCCACGGGCTCTGACCTCTGCGCCCACCGCTAGGGACCCATTAGGTACATTTAAGGTGGTGGGTGGAGCGGCCGAAGGAGCCTGCGGCTGTGAGCCCGGAGAGACCGGAGTTCAAATCCCAGCACGTCCTGTGTGTGCTGCAGCCTTCCTTTGCCGAGCTGTAGAGAGAACAAATCTTGGCCAGGGGTCGGCAAACCTTTTATTTTTAATACATTAAGAATTTTTAATATATTTTATTGATTTTTTTTTTTTCAGAGAGGGAGGGAGAGGGATAGAGAGTTAGAAACATCGATGAGAGAAACATTGATCAGCTGCCTCCTGCACACCCCCCCACTGGGGATGTGTCTGCAGTCAGAGCACATGCCCTTGACTGGAATCGAACCTGAGACCTTTCAGTCCTCAGGCCGATGCTCTACCCACTGAGCCACACAGATTACGGCTGTTTTTTATTTTTATTTTTTGAAAGTATTACATAGGGCTCCCCCCCCCATAAACCTCTTCCAGCCCTCGCCTGCCCCCCACCCCAATCAAACTTTAGGTAGCAAATATCTCAGGCTTTATGGACCATAGGATTGTAGTGGCCAAAGCACCCAGGGCTATTATTCATGGACCCTAAAATTCAAAATTAATGTCATTTGCATGGGTCACAAAATACTTTTTAAATGTTTAAAATTGAGTTTATTAGCATTGGTTAGTAAAATTATAACAGGTTTCAGGGGTACAATTCCCTAGTACATCGCCTGTTTATTGCATGGTGTGTTCGCCACCCCAGACAACAGTATGGTGCTGACCAGAGAGAAAGTGGGGAGGTGAATAGGTAGAGGGAGGTTGGAGTGGATAAAGGACGGATAAATGATAATGGAATGAAATTTTTTCCTCCATACCATGAAATAGTGTAAAACCAGCCGAAACCGGTTTG